GTGTGCGTGCTTGCGTGCGTGCGTGCGTGTGTGTGTGTGTGCGTGCGTGCGTGCGTGCGTGTGTGTGTGTGTGTGTGTGTGTGTGTGTGTGCGTGCAGGGAGGCCAGCTCTGCGAAGTCAAGGCACTGCAGCACGTGTCGCGGCAGCCTCCCGCCGCCTGCACCCGCAGCGCCAGCCCCAGGGTGCGGTGCGCGGCTCAAAAAGGCACCCTGCTGAACGGCACTCCACGTGACTCTGTGTCACTCCATGTCAAGCCCTGCACGTTTGGTTGCTCTTCTCACGCTGGTAGTTGCTGCCCTAAATTACAGGAGTACCAAATGTCGCTGCTCTGTCTATGTAATACGGCGCCTGGCGCGCCCGCCCGTCGTCGGGAGCCTCTCTCGGACGGTCTCCAGCTCCAGCTACCCGGCAGCTTCCCAGATCACGACCCCGGCTCGCTGCCCCCCGGGAACGGCTGCAGCGCCAGCTTGTCTCCCTTGAGGTAGTATCTCATCACGGCCTTCATCCGCTCGTGTTTGTCTGGATGGTAGTCTGGGACCGACAGGGAGGGTTTGGGGGTTGGGCGGCAGGGGTTTGTTCAAAGAGGGTTGATCTGAGGCTGGATTGCAGAAGGGTGATCTGAGGGCGGGTTCCAGGAGGATGGTCTTCGAGGGCGCGTCGGGGATAGAGGAGTGCGCAGGGACCAGCGACTCATGCGGCGCGCGCCGTGCACCGGACGGTTACGAGACGTCACGCCCCCCATGCTGACATGGTTGCGTCGGGTGTTTGTCCCGCCCCCTTGAAGAGAACAAGCGGCTGGGGTGCGGCGACGGCATGCGCGGTGGTGAAACTCACTTATGTGCACCATGACCGGGGAGGGCGGCTGTTGGTCCAGGGGCATCTGCCGGACCCGCTTGAAGAGCGTCTTGCTGTTCATGAATTGGTAGATGTCCATCACGCGCACAGTCACCTGAGGGAGGGGTGCCGGGTGGTGCAGTCGCAGGGTCAGACGCGGTCAAATGTTCAAGTTTATGACGGGACGCCAGCTGCTGCCAATCGGCCTGCTGCACGGCAGGTTGCCGCTCAGATTGCTGCCTGCCACGTGCAAGCTGGGCGTCAAGCAGCCACGCGGCGGCACTCTAGGTCACCCGTTCAATGGGTGACATTTCGACCCGCCAGCTGAGCAGCGGCAGCCGTGGCAGCAGCAGCAGCAGCAGCAGCAGCAGCAGCAGCAGCAGCAGCAGCAGCAGCAGCAGCAGCAGCAGCAGCAGCAGCAGCAGCAGCAGCAGCAGCAGCAGCAGCAGCAGCAGCAGCAGCAGCGACTGCAGCGACTGCAGCAGCCAATAAGCAGCAGCAGCAGTCAGCAGAGGCAGCGGCAGCGGCGCCCATCCGCCCACCATGGCGCTCTTGTAGTCCCCGTGACTAAGGATGAACATCTCTTCGTTGTACGCCGACTGGTCCCAGTACTTCTCCCGCGCGAGGCGGGTCTCCAGGCGCTGCATCAGGTCGATGGTGCGCTGATTGGAGCGGAGGTAGAAGAGGCCGCTGTTCATGTTAAAGTGGGCCATCTTCTGGGCAAACCTGGTGATGGGAGTTTATGCCGTTTGGCGGCGTTGATTTGCATATGTTCTCTGTGCATGCATCTGACAGTGACGTGTGTGCGTGTATGGAGTGTGTGCCATCGTGCATGCAAGCAAGCAGCAGCAGGGACCCATTGAGTGGTGGGCGCGAGCTGCCCAGCACGGCGGCTTGGGGGTCAGACTCTAGAAGGCGCAGTGGCTGCATCGCTTCCGGGGCACGTGCAGGGGTGGCTGCGGCCCACCTGGCCCAGCCCATTGAGGGGTCGTCGACGCCGTCAATGGCGCCATAGGCCCCCTGCACATCAAATCCGTCCGTCTGGCCTTCCACATCATGATCCCTTCATAAGTAATCGTATGTGTGTGTGTGTGTGTGTGCGTGGTACTCGCATGTGTGTGTGTGTGTGTGTGTGTGTGTGTGTGTGTGTGTGAAGCGCGTGTGTGCACGTGCGTGCATGTGTGCGTGCCAGGGATACAGAGATTGTGGGGCAGGGCAGGGGTGCGAGTGAGCCGAGTGTGCAAGGCGCGTCGTGACCCACAGCGTAGATGCAGGGTGCCAGCTGGCAGTTGGCGGCTTATGATGCAAATTCGGTGGAGCTTGGGGCGTGCAAAGAGCAGCACCCCAGCCTCACAGCCCCGCTCTGTCCCCCCACCTGTACAGAAATTTGAAGGGGTTCTGCAGCACGGCGATGTCGATATCGGACAGCAGCACCGCCCAGCCCACCTGCGCAGGCCGGCGGCGGAGCCAGGGCGCAGGCACTAAGGGGTCGAATCGTGCGGAGGCGGTCCCTGCAATCCAACGCTGACAATTGAAGGGCACACCCAGCCGCTCCCAGCAAACACCAGGCGGCTCGCTCGGCCCAACGGCGCATGCGTGGCCGTGGTGATGAATGCGTCCAGATTGATGACCAAAGGCTGTCTACGTACCGTCAGGAACTTTTTGATGATGCCAAACTTGAGGGCGCTGATGGAGTGGTTGTCGCCAGTGTCGGCCTGCGCCTTAGACACCTGCGGTGTGGGAGCGCATGAAACCGTGTGTGTGTGCGAGAGAGTGTCTGTGTGACTGTGTAAAATGTGGGCAGGTGTGTGTGTAGGGTTGCATGTGTCGGGTTGCATGTGTTGTGTGCACTCATGCGCGGGGTTGAGATCCTGCATCCGACAAGGTCAGCACCCCGTCTGCTTAGACTGCACCAGCTTGTTAGGGCAACCGTTAGCCTCGGCTGCCCCGTACTCACGCACTCAGTCACCACACACAGCTGCACGCGCATGCACCCACAGACAGAGTAGCCCCAGCCGACCTCACGCGATACATCCGCCCCTCTGGGTTCTGAGACACCCCCTGCAGACCCACCCAAGCCCCACCTTGATGGCCTATCACCCCAACCCCTCTGCTTCTTTTTGGTGCGCCCACCCCACCTTTGTGGGCATGATGAAGCAGGGGGGGTGAACCCCCCTGCACCGCCGCCCCCCTGGATGGGCTGCCACCCCACCCCCTTTGGGCGGTACCCCTTTGGGGAGCCCGGGCTTCTCCCCTCATTGCTGGAAAAGCGTGATGTCATGTATTCTAATGTAAGGTAACCCCACCGCCCGTTGCCTTGCGCACACACACCCCACCCCACCCCACCTTTATGGGCATGAAGAAGTGGTTCACCCCCCGCTGCTTCATGCCCTCCACCGTCTCCTCATCCAGCGCCACCACCAGGTAGTTGGTCACCTTTGATGAGGTGGGGGCGGGGATGGGGGTGCGGGTAGGGGTGCTGGAGGGTGGGGAATGCTGCGTTGCTGCCAGGCCGTCACAGGCGCCACGGCCGCCGCCGCCGAAGCCGCCGCCGCCGCGCGAGCCAGGCGCGCGCGGCCGCGAGGCGCCGCCACGGCCAACTGAAAGGTCGACCGAGGCGCGCCGCCGCGCTGGGCCCGCGGGGTGGGGATTTTGCGTGGGCAGCTGTGGGGGGCGCTCACCCCCGCCTGCTTCACGCCCTCGAGCCATGTGTCGAGCATCCCCTCCAGCATGGGGTTCTTATTCGACACCCCGATCAGCACTTCTCTCTCCGGCGCTATCATGGTCAAGTAGGATTTCAGGAGCTTCAACTCAGGGTCTTTCGCGACGGCCTCGGCGCGCGCGGCGGCGGCGGCGCGCTCAGCCGCAGAGGCGGTTGCGGGTTCGCCGACGTCCGCCGCGATCGCCGCGAGCTCCTGCGCGGCCGCGGCGCCGCCCAACGCGCTGACGCCGTTCAGGATGTCCTCGCGGTTTGTGGCTATGTATATGCGCTCCGCGAGGACGACGCCGACGCAGGCGCCGAGCGCGAACACCGCCACCAGCAGCTGGTGGCGCGAGCGGAAGTCGAGCGACTTGCTTTTACCGCTGCCCCCATCGTCCAGGACACCCATCGCGCTTAAAGTAGCCTGTACGTTGTGCAAGGGCCGCGGTCACCCGCACGGAGCAGCGAGGATAAACTGTGCTGGATCGCACATACAACGCCGCGCAATTCCACCAATTTCAATACGTCGATTGATGGTATGATATATATAGGAAGCGAGCGTAGCCCTCTCACCTGGCACTGCACACTGACACTGCACTGCTGCTTTACTGCTCCCAACCGTGCCTGCGCCCTGCCCTTCAGACTTGCCAGCGATGCTATTGTGACATGAGACGGTACATCTTGAACTCACCGAATACCTCAACTACATTGGAGTCGTAGTCGGCGTCTTGAGGTGCCTCGTCACCCACATCAGCCTTGTGTTGCTGCCTGGTGGCTATGACAACTGCAGACCGGTATTGGGCAACTTTCAGCAGGCATGGTCAAGACCGTGTGCGTGCAAAATCAACCCTGCCGTAACCTGACGTGCAACTAAATCAATCGTGCAATCGACGTGCTTAACAACTATTGTATACTACATCCCAGCAGTGCACTTCAGCCGTATACCACTTGCCCACCTGGTGCCAACATGCAGAGCGCTGATGAGCACTAGTGCTGACACAAGCCTTCCCTTGGAACACGTGCCTTACATGTTGTCCACCCCCTTGATTCCTGCACCCCCACCTCGGCGGTATCACAGCCTGCTGAGGTCGCTGCAGCCCCCGCTGACGAGCGGAGGTGCCCACAGCCTCCCCAGCCACGCGGGTCCTTGGCCGGTCAACCGCGACAGGCAAATTGACTCGACATCCCCTTTTCCCCCCATGGATTTCCTTAGCACTCCACTCCTTCACACGGCGCTTCTGATTGCCCTCACTGTCTGCCGATCTCACTGTGACGCAGATGCATGCAACGCCTGCGAGCCTTGCAGCCCGCGGGCGCTGCACCACGTTTTGCTGTCCAGCGTTCCCACATGGAGCAGCGTCGAAATACACACAGGCTGGTCTGTCCGAGTTGTGTCTGGCAACAGCAACCTCTGTCGTGTCGCCCCTGCACAGAAATCTCCCTGACCCGTCCAGCTCAGACGCCACAACCGCCCCCGCACGACTCGAGGGCTCAGGCCAGCAACTACCCCTTACATTGACTGGGCCGCCCCAAATACATGAAATTAGGACAGGCCAAAGAAGAGCAGCTGCTGCACAGATATTCATTTGTTGTCAAGTGCCTCAAGAGATGTTTTGGCCAGGCCAAGTTCTCGAGTGCTTCGTGGGTGCAAATGGGCGTCGAAAGCGAACCTGCCAGCCTGCATTGTGTGCACCCAAGTGGCGTATGGGACGAGGTCCGCTGACCTGTCGCGCCAAGCAAGGTGGGGCACGACAACACCCAACAATTAAAGTGATGCATGGCCCGCTGCACTCGCGCTTTAGGACGCCACTTGCTCCTGCGCACCTGCTTTCAGGCGCGTGTGCATGCACGCAAGTGATGCACCACCACCAGCAGCAGCAGCAGCAGCAGCAGCAGCAGCAGCAGCAGCAGCTCCAGCTCCAGTGAGACAGGAAGCGTGGTGAAGGTTCGCTTCCCGTGCAGTTGCTTGGCGAAGGAGTGGCCCGGTTCAGGGCACACGGTCCTGCTCGGCTGCCCTAGGGTGCAAGGAAGCGCTAGTGTCCAGAACAGAGCGCTGATGCGTATCGCCAAAGTCATTAGGTCCGAAATGCCGCGTCAGTGAGGGATCGAGGGGCGCACAGTTCAGTCCTTCGGCAAGGCGCGCATGCTCCATTAGGGCCGGCACGGCGCCTGGACACGAGGGGCAGCGGCCCTTCAAGTCAGCTGTGCGGCCGGGTCATCAGCTCGTTCGAATGCCCAGGCATCTCGTTTCCGCCCAAAACACTCCTGAGTGCAGGCCGCACAGAAATCCACTCTCAAAAGTACCAGCGGCACAGCCGGCCCTCTGCACCAGGGTTGTGCGCCGGGCCGCTCGGCATGCCCCTCGGCCCCTCCCTGTGCGCGTCGTTCGCTCGCGACCAAACTCAGCGGCGCGCGTGCGCTCACTCCACCACCCATTCCTCCGCCAGCAGCAGCCGCCGCGCAGCGCCGCCGGCGCCGGCGCCGGCGCCGCGCCGCTCCCGCAGCCTCCGCTGCCGCCGCCGCCGCCGCTTCCCGGCAGTGCCGGCGGCGGGGGCGGCGCCGCCGCTCGTCACTGCCAGGTCGTCCAGCACGAGCCTGGTTGTGCTCACCGCCGGCGCGACAGTGACGCGGAGCGCGCCTGCGCAAGTAGGCGGGAACGTGATGCGCCCCGGCGTGCCGTCCAGCAGCCGCACCGTCCCCGCCGCCAGCTGAGCGCCGGCCGCCCCGAAGCACGAGATCACAACGCGGCCCTCCCCGGTGCTGGGGAGCCCGAGGGACGCGGTCAACGCGGCGTCCGGCGCCTCGGTCAAGATCATCGCGAGCGGCGTGAACGGCGCGCCGTCGGCAGGCGCAAAGGCGATCGCGCCGTCGCCGCTGCCGGGGAGGGCGGGCGTATTGGTCAGCGCGACGGGCGCGGAGGCGACGCCGGCGCGGAGGGCCACGGGGAGCGCGGGGGCGGCGACCGCGGATGCGCCGGTGAAGGTCAGGCCGCCAGAGGTGATGACTGGGGCGGGGCCGGCTGCGAGGGACGAAGTGACGTCATCAAACGTCAGCAGGCGGCCTGCGAGGGTGGGCCGGACCGGTTCGGGGTGGGTTGTTGTCGGTTCAAGTTGGTTGGGGCCGACTGAGTGGGCAGGCTGCTTGGGTTGAGGGTTGCGAACAAGAGCTCAAAACCTTGTGCAACATGCGTTGCGCTGGTTGAGTGCAGATGGGGGGATCCAGACTAGTCGCCACGAGCATGTGGCGAGGGCAGATGTGCGAGACAGGATCATGCAGGAGGACACAGGGCCGGCGAGATGGAGGGCCACCGCGTCGCATGTTTGTGAGGCGGCACGCGCCGGGCCATGCGGCGCGCAGTGGGGGTGGGGCGTGCCTCACCGTTGGGGGGCAGCTCCAGGGGCGGGAACAGCGGCCCTGGCGGGGGCGAGGGGGAGGGCGACAGC